CCGAAATTTAAAAGAGAGAAAGGAAGGAAAAATTTTTCTCCAAAAATTCCACATCGTGCATGTGATGGTGTTTGTGGAAATTCGAGTGTTTATTGTAACCCGTTTTGTCTCATGTGTGCCCACACACACGTGTTCGTGGATTCTAGGAATTGATGTGGAAGACATTGGTTTTCTAAACACAAAGATTGGAGCAAGGACTGTTCGTGGTCAAAGAACTCAAGTTATCATCCGAGTCGGCTTCCAGGTATTTTTCCTGTTTGAGTTATTGATATATATAAGTTAATGAGATTAATTTATTCGTGCATAAATTAATATAATCTATAGAGTATCTCAAAAGTTTTATGAAAATTTTTGTTATACACGATCCGCCTCTTCCCCGCACCACCGCGCTTCCACATCCGGATTCGATCCGGAGACCAACACATAAAATATAAAAAACGTCATATAGAGAACATGCTTAATATAATCGAGTAAGTTCAACAATTTTCTTATTAAAAAATGTAGTCTCAAAAACGTCCCAAAATATAGGGTTATTTTTGTTTTTAATAAAAAGAAAAGGAGAGAAATAACATAATTTAAAGATCATTAATCTTTAGAGTTAGCGAGTAAATGAGATGATATCTATAAATTCAAATTAATCATGCTGTAAAATTCTAAAACTACCCCCATTTAATCTCCATTTTAAAATCTAATCTCTTTTTTTTTTTTTTTTTTTGCTTTAATCCAAAATCCTCTTTCTCTCTCTACTCGCTGATTTTTTTTCCTATTCGTTTGAACCCCCTTCTCTCTTTTCCCTCTCTTTCTCGACCTCCCCTCTCTCTTTCTCCATCATCTCCTTGATTTCTCTTCTCCATTGGGACGATCATCGTCATCTTGACAAGCTCATCATTGCAAGGTCGGATCGCGAAGCCCGCAACAATGGATCGTCGAAGAAGACTAATGGCGCCACGCTGTCTAGCTGTTATCCTCGACCGCTGTTGAGAAGTTTATAGATCGATATTCCAAAGGAGAGAGATAGAAGAGAGAGAAAGAAATGAGAGGAGGAGAAATAGGGGTATAAGCGCATGAAAATACACTTGAATTGTTCATAATTGCTAAATAAATTAAGTTTTATTTAAATATTTTTGTGGAATTAATTTTTTGTGAAAGTATTTGATTTTAATTTAAATTAATTTGTTTTGTAGGGAAATAAGACATTTGGGCCAAAACTAAAATAAAAAGAGAAAGAAGCCTATCAGCAGCCGTTTGCCGAGCCAAGCCGAGCTGAGCCGAGCCGCACCAGTCCTCTCAGCTCCGCCACGCGTCGTTTTATGGTGCGCTGCAGACATGTGGGACCCAGCTGTCCCCTCGTGCACGCGCATTTGGCGTGCACGATTTCCTCCCCCAGGCAAGTTTACTCCACGCGTGCGTCAGTCAATTGTCTATTCACTTTCGTGTGGGTCCCTCCAATTGATTTTATTCACAAGTTCTTCAAATATTTATTTTCTGATTGATTGTTTGGGATGTGAAACTTTCAATTGAGTCAATTTATGAATCAAAATCCAAATAGGAGAACAAAACATATCGAGGATTCTTAATGTCGTACCACTTTTAATTATTGAAATTTCTCCATTTTATATTGCATAATCTTAAAATTAAATTGTTCAAAAATCATTAAAACACTCATTTCTCTTATTTGTTCGATTGCTTACTTCTCTAACGCTTTTAGTCCACTAATCTCTTTTGTTTGTTTTTATCGTCTCATCGTATGATCGACCGTCTTAATTGTGCTATAATTGACTGCTTATTTTTGTATATGTTTGGGTGTAATCAATCAATATGCAACATTCCAAGGAAGAGAGAAAGAAATGAGAGGAGGATAAATAGGGGTAAAACTGTAAACTACAAAGGAACAATTTTAAAATATGCTATGTATTTTCATTGTTTTAAATTATGCTATTTAGTTAAAATGGTTTAATAGAAAATGCTATATGGTACAATTTCTTATAGATACACAAGAAGAGAGGATAGCTTGAATTGGGTTTTGTAATTCAACTTTTAATCCAATGACTCATATTAACATTTTTTTTTTTTACCTTGTATCAATGGTTAAGATTTCTCCACTTGGCCAATCCATTCTCCCACACCTCACATTTCTATATTTACAACTTTATAACTACTAGGTTGCCAATGATAATTTTGACATCTCTTTGCTTGTATGCATAAACAAGCTCGTATAGTTTACCTTTCCTGAGACACCAATTTAAGATGTATCAACAGTGTATGTATACATATATTTTTTTGAAAAGAATAGTGTATGTATTTGATGATGTAATATGGTGTATTTGAATTTATAAGGGAGGAAAATTAATATTTTTTCTTATATAAAGAATTAAATATAATTTCTAATTCTACTAAAAGAGCAAAAAAAATTTTTTTTATATAATTTCATTTTCCAAGTAAGAAGAAAATAATTAGATATAAAGCATTATTTTATATAGTACTATTAAATGATATAAATTGACACAAATATTATTCTAATCCAATGTTAAAAATTGTAATATTATATTTATTACTGTACGCACGTCCGACGGACGTGCATCAAAACTAGGGGCGAGTAAAATTGCCAATGTTTAAAGGTATAGGGCCGAGATTGTGAAAGTTAAAACTGTAAGGACCACATTGCCAAAGTACGAAAAGTATAGGGGGGGTCTCATTATTAGCGATATAAACAAACCCCTTGTTATTTGGTTATATGCTCTCTGAGGATTCATCTTTTTTGTATGCATAGTAAATGGGCGTTTAATACGGGATAATCTCGATGATAGCTAGAATTTCAATCTTTACAAACTTGAAATAGTAATGGCGGAAAGTTCGGACGCATTGGGATTGGGTAATAACTACGAAGAGGCTGTCGAACAGGACAAAACCAATGTTCCTGTTCAAGAAGCAGAAGAAGGAAAACAAGAAGAAGAAGGAGAAGAAGATGATGCAGATGACGACAACAATGGAGATTATGATGATGAAGAAGAAGAAGAAGAAGAAGAAGAATACAGTTTCAGATTCAAGGAAGGAGTGAATCCTTTGGACTTCGTTGAAGACAATGCGTTGAGTGGCCAACCTTACAAGCAATTCGAGCGACTTGAGTATGAAGCTCTTGCTGAGAAGAAAAGGAAAGCCCTTGCCGATTCCCACCGCCGGTAAACTCTTATTGAATTAATTTTTTTCCTTTTTCTGCAATAATGATAATTTAATTTGATGATTTTGAACGAATTCTTGATAATAGTGAAGGATCGATTAAGAAGGCGAGAGTTGAGGATGCTTCTAGAGCTACCATGGAGGAAATAATGAAAGCCATGAATTATGGCGTTCGTAGGAAATCAAGAGAGGTACATTATTATCTTTTTTATTTTCACTTTTTGAAAGATTAACCTTTTTTGCTCTTTATTTTGTTAAACTTTAAGGATTTTTTTTGCTAAGTTTATTCCTTTGAAAATTGAGGATTTTGTTGAAGTGTGCCTAAAAACACCCAAAATAATATACCAGAATATCTAATTAAAGAAAATGTTCAATTCAAATAGTTCTGAAGGAAAGGGAATGCATAAACTGAACTGAGAAATCAATGACTAGATTTCATATTCAATGACTTCACCATTTCTTTCTAACTGAAAGAGTATCAATTGTGATTATTGTATCTTAGATTGGTAAATTTTTTTTTTTTTTTTTTTTTTTTTTTTTAAATTTCATTACACCTGGATTTAACCGTTGTTAGCGGGAGAAAAGGTTCGAGAAGGATGACAGCATTTTTATTAGTTTTTGTTAGATGAATGGAGAGGGCGGCAACTGATTTCAAGTAACTCTGGCACATGCCAACTCTGTTGGCACACTGAAATTTCAAACCCCCGACTTTAATTTATTAAAAAAATGAAAAAATAAAGAAATTACAAAAGATTTATATTAACGTAGAAATCCAAATACATTAAGAAACCTAAAGGAAAATTCAATAACCCCAGTGTTAGTTTTCATTATTTTTGATCCAGGGAGAAAATTGGGGTCTGAAACTGAAGAAGCTCTTGAAAGTAATTCTTTTGAAGTTCATGGGGGACTATATATAGCATGTCATTGCTGTCAATTGAGAGGCAAAAAATTGATATATTTCCCGTTTGAATCATCTGCCGGTGATTGTCTAAAATTGTATTTTTCTCTTTCATTTTATTTTTTAACTTTTTATATTTCCTTTCGCTGCTTGGTTACCATTCTTACCTTGTATCTGATGCAGCCTAAGAAAAGAGGTAGGCAGAAAGGATCCAAAAACAAACCCAACCGTGAGGTAGTACAAAAGCTTGGTGAAGCTACTCTTTATTATGCACATGGCCGTTATGAAGAGGTAATATGCTCACTGAGATGAGTTCTTCTGTTAATGCGGCATAGTTTTGTTTGGTTCTAACCTGAGGATTCCTAACAATTATCTAAGAAGAGCCAATTCTTCCCTGTTCATTTGGAAAGTTTTTTCTCCCTCATAATATCCATCTCTCTCTCTCTCTCTCTCTCTAGTCTCTCCGCATTTTACCAGTTGAGTCACATGTAAATTTGTTATTTTTGTATTAGCTTTTTATTTTACTCAAATGGCATGGCCAACCTACTTGCATTTCTCGTCTCCCTTTTGCAACTATTCTCAGATTTTCATATCTCATCTTGGTTTGGCATTGTGGTCTTACTCGGTAAGTTCTTATATTTACAATTAAACCAAGTTGTTGTAAACAGGAATATTGTGTAAGAATATGGAAACATCATGTAAGAATAGGAAAGAAAGACGAACTGCAAAAAGGAGGTAGTTTAAATGCAAGAAAACGGTAACTAGCATGAATAGGTTCTCCTAGTATCGTCCTATTAAAAAATTACATATGCCCAACTTATTGCTGAATATACAAAGCTAGAAACTCTTATTTTCCTTTCTTTCCAAAGATATGATTTTCTACACTGCACTAGTTGTGTTGAAGATAGCTACCGTTTTCAAAGCTCCAGCTCAAGGTTTCATATAGACCTCGACAAACCCTTGGTGAGGGTATCTGTTAATTGCTTCTCACTTGCAACTATGGGATGAAATTGATCTGTTGTCCAACTTTTCTTTGAATAGTGTCTCTCCAAGCAATTCTTACTTCAAATATTAGTGTCCTCAGCCAAGACAACTCGCAGATTTGTTCTGTTTTTGCTCTAGTTTTAGCTCAGCACGAGATCTTGTTCCACCAGATATTGCTTTCTCCCCCAAGTAGTTATGTTCCCTCAATGAGCGTACAGTATCTCAATCAGCAAGTGTAGGAGATTCTAGTTGAGGTTGATGATTTTTATGAGAGAATTGGACTTCTTCTAAGAGTTCCTTTCAAACAATTTGGATGTTGCGCACCTTCCATATGGACTATCCATGGGGAATGCATAAAGTAACTACACTTAGAGTGGATGCATCATCAAATCTAATTGGTGACAAACTTTTTTAACAGAAAGTATAAAAGTGTTATCACTACACGTTACATATTTATGCTTGCCATCTTTGGTTTTGGGACCCATCTGAATTGTTCTGCATGCACTTTGCAGGCCATATCTGTGTTGCATCAGATTGTTTTGAAAGCACCACATTTACCTGATGCATATCATACACTTGGACTTGTCCACACTGCAATGGATGATACTGAGAGAGCCTTAGGTTTCTATATGCTTGCTGCACATCTAATGCCTAAAGATTCATCGCTTTGGAAGTTGCTAGTTTCTTGGTCAACGTAAGGTTTTCTGCTGTTGGTATAATTCTTTTACGCTACCTTATTTATCTGCGTACTCATTTGTTACCCTCCATTGCTCTCTTTTATGGTAAGATCTTTGGGTTTCTACATTTGCTTCGCAATTAGTAGTACAAGTATTTATCACTTTGCAAATTTTTGTTATCCTAGGCAAGGGAAAATATTTCGACACTAACCTATTCAATTTGTTAGGATTGAAGCCAACAATATGAGCTCTCTTATGTCATATAAGAGTTTCACTGAGATGGTGTCAGAAGTTGCTCAACCAACTGAATTGATGAGTGCTTCATGCCAATGTTTTTGTTACCGGATTTTTGACAAAACAAAGTTATAGAGTGAGAGAAAAGAATATTAAATAGTTATGAAGAATTGGCTTTTTTATAAAATACAGTTAGATACTTGATTTCCTTAGGGGTTTCTACCTCAAAAGAAATTTGGGGAATTTATTTGTCTATGAATTTATTGGATTGAGGTGTTCTTTAGTGCGTTTTTAAATAGGCTGGTTGTGCTTTATAGAGGACTCCTTATTCTATAGTATTGCATGTTTTCCTTTCTGAAGTTCTTTTTTTTTTTTTTTTTCCTTTACTCAAAACAATCAAAAAAATGAAATGGATATCAACTTCGTGAACAAACTGAATATATATCATGTATCAACTGCAGTGAAAAGGGAGACATTGCTCAAGCTAATTACTGCCTTACTAAAGCGATAACAGCTGATCCTAACGACATTCAGTTAAGATTGCTACGTGCGTCACTCTATCTTGAGCTTAGGGATGCTCAAAAGGCTGCTGAATCATATGATCAGATATATCAACTTTGTCCTGAAAATGTTGAAGCCCTTAAGACAGGAGCAAAGGTCTTACCTCGTTTCTTTTTATTTATTTTTTCTCCGTCTTTAGTTGCTGTCTTGTAGTTGGTTGATTTATGTCCTTGATGTGCTACAGACTGGTTTCGTGTTAATGTTCATATAGTTGTTTGGAATATTGTAGGTTGGACAACTGACTACACTTTTATAGTACTTGTGACTGTTCCCTCAATCCTAAAGATTCTCACAACTATTCTTGTGAATTTTACACGTTTAAGCAAAATTGATTTCTCTTGCTTTCTTTCTCTCAGTTGTACAAAAGATGTGGTCTGGTAGAACGTTCCATCCATATACTTGAGGACTATCTTAATAATCATCCCACTGAGGCTGATTTAAGTGTGATTGACCTGCTGGCTTCCATACTGATGGAGACCAATGAGCATAGCAAAGCTCTTCAGCATATTGAACATGCACTTTTGGTGTACTGTTCTGGGAAAGAGTTGCCTTTCAATTTGACCGTTAAAGCAGCAATCTGCCACATTTATTTGGGGAATATGAAGAAAGCTGAGGTTTGTTGCTTGCGTATTTAAGTATAAATTACACAGCCGTTGCATTTATTTGTTACTAGATAAGAATTGTGTTGAATTAGTAGAAACGAGTAAAAAATAGAACTGATGTGGCTGAGTATAATACGTTGAATCTGCTATCATATAGAAAATTAAAAACAGATTATATGGAAAATAAATAACAAATTATGCTTATTTCATATTTAAAGAAATGGTTACTGTCTTCCACTCTTCCTTTCTTCTGAATATATGGGACAATTTGTGGAGAGAGAGAGAGAGAGAGAGAGAGAGAGAGAAACAAGAAACCAGAAAACCAGAGACCAAAAGATACTAAAATGAAATTCTAGCAAGTTAAAAAAAAAAAAAAAAGAACAACGTTTGGGACCTATCCTTTTGGAACACAACATTTTGGCTCCAATAATGGTGAAGGCCTTGTGGAAAGTATGGTGATCTCTTTGTTGTGGGCAATTTGGAATTAAGGGTTTTTGAGGATAAAGAAATGGACAAGATGGACCTGTTTGAGAAAAATATGGTACTTTGATGTGGGCTTCAATGCATGAAACTTTCAAGGATTTTCCATTCTCATTGATGGTGTTCAACTGGAGGAACGGTGTTGGAAGTTAGTGTCTTTTTTCTTCGTTTTCTTATTTCCTGTGGTTTGTTTTCCTTTTTTATTTTTGCTTTTATTTTTTTTTATTTGCTTTCTCTGGTTTTCTGTTCTTAGAGAATTTCTCATCCTCTTTCCTTTGTACTTGATTTTTGTATCAATGAAGGGACGTTTTCTTATTAAAAAAAAAAAAAATCACTGGAAGTTAGTTTCTATATTTGACTGGCTTTTAGTTTAAGTCATTTATTTGAGGGTTCTAGTTCAGTGGCTTGCAATTGTGTATTATAGTTTATTACCTCTGTATTCGATTTGTATGAGTAATGTCTCTTACCTACGATTGTTCTGTGTTTTTTAGATGCTTTTTGGTGTTCTACAGACAGAAAATGCTGCTCATCATATTCACTTTGGCATTGAAGTTGCAGACACATTAATGAGTCTCGGGCATTATGATTTTGCATTAATGTATTATCTGATGTTGGAAGGAATACCTGGTAGTGACAAAGTAATAAATCCTTGTTTTCCTTTTTCTTGTCCTTTTTTAAGTTTCTTTGAGGATTTTCCGTGCCACACATAGACAAATGCATTTGCACATTATTTTTGCTGACAATTTGCTTGGACAATTGGAGTTAATTTATTCTTCATTGTTCTCATTAAAATGCTTCCCGTTATTAACAAATCAATAAAATTCTGTTGCATTCCAAGTCAATGGATACCCGTGCTTACTGATTTGTTTTCAGCATAAAGGGTTTTTAGCAGCTAAAGTTGATCTTGATTGTTAGTAAACTGCATCAGTTTGCAGGTCTTAATAGTAAGTATTACTTTTTTTTTTTTTTTTAATAGTAGGTATAACATGGCTTAGAAGTTTATTCTGTGATCATGAGAGATGCCGTAGACCTGTTAATTTGACAATCACATATACTTTGTTTTGCATTTTGCTATGATTAACATTCATTGCCTGCTGACATTCACATCACTTTTGTATTTACCAAGCGACTCATATTGGGATTGAACACAATTAATTCTCTTGCGTTTAATCTTAGTGAGTCTCTTGAGGACAAAGAAAATGCATGTTCATTTCTATTTTTCTTGCAGGGCTTTTTACATCTGATGATAGCTCGTTGTTACATATCCTTGAAGGATAGAATACATGCAATTATATTCTTCCAGAAAGGTGCGTAATCTCTCTCTCTCTCTGTTTGTTTTTTTTTTTTTTGGTAAGGAACATAATAGTTTATACTGAAAGAATCCGAATTCATGCAATGTCGGGCCATTACTTGGCTTAAACTTGATTTCTTAACTTTCAAACATTTTCTTGGTTACTAGAATTTTAGATTTTTTAAAACTTTAAAATTATTAATTCGAACATACTCCGCATAATTATCAGAATCAGAATAACAATAAACTAAGCAGAAACTTAATTTGGAAAATACTTTATTCAAGGACTTGTACTTATAAAAACGTACCTTGCTTAATAGTTACTTAATATGCTAAGCATGCATAAGGTACGGGTTTAGACAGTGTAAATCATTAAGATAAGAAAATCCTTAATATCATTAACATAACACGCAGCTGAATATTAAAATCCTTAAAGGTCACATAATTACTTAAAACTTAAATTCAAAGATAATAATTATCATCAAGTTTTATTATAAAACTCATCTTACTTATTTACAATAATTTATAGCAAATGACATCTTGAATATGTTGTAAACTTTTGTTTGAGAAGCCGAAATATTTAGCCTCTCTCTAGACATCGACTGACACATCTTTCAAAGACTTTTCGCTTTCTTTAGTCGCGCTTAGTTGGGAAGACATTTTGTTTTAGGGTGCAGGGATGGTATGTTTATTTCTTTGTTTTTGTTGTTTAGTCCTGTTTCGTTTTCTGTTTTTGGGGGCATTTTGCTGTGTCTCCTTTTGTTTGTTGTGGATGGATATGATAGACCTCCTGTGCACTTTACTTGCGCACGAAGGAAGAAGGGCAGGATGAATGGTGTTGCTCAAGACAAGGAACTTTAGAAAGACAAAGGGCAAGGCTCGGTTCAGGCTAATGGAGCAAGTGTGGAGCAGAAAGTTGGATGATGAAGTGGGCAATTAGAAGGTCAGCTTGGCAGGGAATGTTGGGTCAGGCTCTGGCTTGGGTCCTAATTGAGAAGGAGTGATGTCAGCTGGTGTTAGGGTCCTAGGAGTTTGGGAGAATTCTGTTTGAGATGCAACAATGGGCCGGGGTCTGTGGGCCGGCCCAGGCCCATCCTGACACAGTGACGGGCATGGCCGGCGCGGCCCGTCACTGTTCAAGGCACGACCCAGCCCATAAATATTGGTGGGTTGGGCTGGGCCAACGTATATCGGCCCATGGGCCGGCCTGACACGGCCCATGAAAAAATGGGCAAGGCTGGGCTTGGGCCGGGCTGGGCTGGCCCGTCTAGGCCCATGATGGGCCGGCCCGTCTAGGCCCATAATGGCTCGGCCCAGTCCAGCCCATCTAGGCCTATAATATTTTTATATTTTTATATTTTTTTTAGTAATTTTGTAAACATCTTATGTATAATTATCCTTATTGTACTCTTTTTTCCTTACTAAGGTTTTGTCCTATTAGGTTTTACTTAGAAAATTTTTTATTTAATAAGGTAATCGTAAATAAAATATCCCTTTCCATATTTCCATTAACTATTCAAACTGATATATTTGTTAACTTGTTTAAAAATTCAAAAATAAAAAATAAAAAAAATTAAAAATTGCATGGTTAGATAGGCTGACTCATCTAAACCCATGATGGGCCAAGATGGGCCTTGAGTGGACCGGCCCATTCACGGCCCATGGCACGGCCCATCTTGGCCCGCGGCACGGCCTAGCCTGGCCCATGTAAAATTGTCACGTGGTGTGGGCTGGGCCGAGGTCAGCCCGGCCCCCAAAATTCGTGGGTTGGGCTGGCCCGCCCTGTGGCCCGCGTGGGCCTAAGAAGAACAGGCCGGGCTGGCCTGTTCTTGCATCCCTAAATTATGTTAGAAAGTTTGTTAGTAGAGTGATGAATAAAAAAACATGAGCTGGGTTGGTGTGAGAGGCCATCGATCATTTTGGTAAGTGAGAATTAGACGGGCTCAGGCTCTAGAGAGTGCAAGGGTCTCTTGAAAACCCCATATCATGTATTCATTCCTAATTTCTCATTAGTAATATCAGTTTAATTCCAGTTTTGATTGATCATTTGCTTTGTTTAATTGCTTGAACCTGATAATTGATTGCTGGTTCCATTAAATTGGTATAAGAGTAACCGTCTTAGATGGTGCCACCAAAGAAGTCCGAGGAAAAGATCGGGGAGGGACCTAGGAGAAGGACGGGCCTCGAGAGGAGGGTTCGAAAGAGATGGAGGAAATTAAGGAGTTGCAGAAAATTCCCAAGCTGGAGAAGGGGCTAGAGTTGGTGTTGGGAGGAGTTGTTGCGCCAGCGTGAAGAGCTGAGCCAATGGCGGTCATCTTCGGTGACGGGATCATCATTGTGGATGACGGGGGGCCCAGCTGCTGGGGAAAAGATTTTTTAGAGAACGGCGGGCGGAGGGATTCTTTATAATGAATCGCACTGGGGAGACGGAAAGGCTAGAGGCTGCGGTGGTGAGCCTTATGGCATCGCCCTTGATTGGTTCCAATGGGAAGACAGAGGGCGAGCCATCCGCAATTGGGGAGAGCTACAAACGCTGATTCTTGAGAGGTTTCGACAGACCCAAGATGGAAACCCATGTGAGAAGTTCCTGGCGCTACGACAGGTGATGATCGTCAGGGAATATCGACGGCAATTCGAAATCCTTGCCTTGCCGCTCACTAAGGTGTCTGAGCAAGTGTTGGAGGGAAACTTCGTGAATGGCATGAAGCCAAAAATTAGAGCCGAGGTCCGGTTGATGTAACCCATTGGGCTTGGGCGGATAATGGAACTTGCCCAGAGGATTGAGGACCGTAATACCTGGGTGCAATCCACTAAGGCCCAATACTCAAGCTCTAGTTGTGGGCTAGAGGCCCAAATTCGGGTAGTCAAGTTGGGTGTAAGGGAGTTCTGCCAACCCTAGGACGAAACATGACCTCACTTGACAAATAGATGGGTGGCGGAAACACTCCCTTCTGGAGGGTGACGTTGGTACAGCTACAGGCTAAGCGAGACAAAGGGTTGTGTTTCCATTGCGACAGAAAATACTCAATCGGTCATCGCTGCCTGAACAAAGAATTGCAGTTATTGCTGGTCAACGACGAGGAGGATGAGTCCGATCTTGAATAGGGCAAGGAAGTGGAGAGTGAAGGGGGTGAAGTGGCGGAGTTGTCTTTGAACTCGGTGGTGGGTTTGACTGCACCATGGACCATGAAGCTTTATGGGTCGATTGGGCCCCAAGAGGTGGTCATATTGGTCGATAGCGAAGCTGCGCATGATTTCATTTGTCGTGGACCTCGTTCAGAAGCTAGGAATTCCATTGGACAAGACTGAGGATATGGGGTGGTCATGGGAACAGATCTATCAGTGAGGGGAGATGGAGTTTGCCGAGGGGTGGTGCTTTCACTCTAATCAATTGAGGTGGTGGAGGATTTTTTACCGTTGGACTTGGGAAGCTCGGATGTGATATTGGGTATGAAGTGGCTGGAGACGTTGGGAGCAATGAGTGTCAACTGGAAATCATTGCGGTGAAGTCCAAAATCAGAGAGATGCAAGTTGTCTTACAAGGAGATCTCGGACTCGGCAAGTCGGCGGTTACTTTGAAAGTGATGAAGGGGGTGTTATTGGAATTGAATTGCACCATGGTGGAGCTCCTAAGACTGGGAGGAAAAGGGCAGATAGGTGTCAGAAGAATTAGAAGAAGTTTTTGTTGGTTTTCTAAACGTTTTTAAGTGCGGAAGCATGGTAGTGTAGATCGTGTATAACAAAAAATTTTCACAAAATTTTTGTATACGCTATAGATTATATTAATTTATGCAATAATAAATTAATCTTATTAATTTATGATAGTAAATACCTTGCCGACGATTAGGACTATATCTTGAGGTCTTTGGCCAACGAATGTTCCTCGCTCCAAAGCTTTCTTAGAATACCAAAGTTTTCCTCGTCTACCCCTTGAAATTCACAAGACGATGAGTGTGGGCCCAATATATGATCATCGGATTACTCGCTAATTTAGTATTGTTCCACTATCAACACATGTATGTGAAAGAATTAGGAAAATTGAAAGATCTTTTCTTCTCTTTTCTCTCTCAAATTTTCTGCCAACTCTTAGGAAATTAGGGAGAAAACTTTTTCTCCAATTTCCTATTGTCTCCCATTTATAGACAATTAGGAGAAGCCTTTGCTTGTAGACAAAGCAATAGGAAATTAGTAGTTACTATATTTTTAGTCTCATTAAAAATACTGTTTCCCTTTTAATATTAGAAACAAACTTTCCTTTCCCTTTTGCTTATAGGGTGGGCGGCCCACATTAAGGAAGGAAAGAGAAAATTCCTTTTTAATTCAGTTTCCATATCTGGCAAACCAATCTTTAAGTCTGAGTAATTGCGGGTTAGGTAGAGTTTTATTTTTAAAATCAAGGACCTTAGGAAATGATGAACTAAATCCCAATGGAATTTTTTCCAGTGTCACGCCCCCTGTGGTCCCACCACAGTGTGACAAAATAATTAAATAATTACATTATTTAATATATAATTAATTTTTAATTAATTATTCGCTAGTGAAATAAAATCTCAATAGTTCATCTTGTCTTGCAAATAATACAAGGATGACGTGAAGACTTATGGACCTATAATTCCGAGCTCTAATAAAATTAATAATTAATTAAACTCTTTAATTAATTAACTAATTCTATTAATTCTAAAAGTTACTCAACTAAAAACTTGGAATTGCACTCTCAAAATTATAAACATAATTTACTTCTAAGAACTTGAAGTGTCAATTTGATATAGTCACTACATATAGATCGATCCTCCATAAATAATTTATAATTAGAGCTAGGAAAAATCCGTTAACCTCTCTAATTACATCTTTATCCTTGAGTACCATTGATTCTCTAATGAATAGTATATTCATAAAATACATTCATGAATATGAGCTTGTTACTTATACAAGTACCGAATCAACCCTCAAGAGAATTATTTATCTGTTTCTTCAAAGAAGAAGGAACATATTCGATCTTGTATATTAGCATTCCTAGATATTCATAAAGTATTCAACAATGCATACACATAAAAATGAATAAACTATTTTATTAATCAAATAATAAAATATCTTTATTACGTCTCATGCGTTAAGGACACCTTTCCCAATAGTTTTGAAGCATTTGGCAGAGCGGAGGTTTTCGAAATGCCAGCAACACTACCACTACCTTGGGTGCGGGATCATGCAATTGTTCTCAAGGAGGGCACCTCACCTATCAATGTTCGACCTTACTGCTACCCTCAAGCTTAAAAAGATGAGATTGAAAAGTTGGTCAAGGAGATGTTGGCGGCAGAAATAATCCAACCAAGTGTAAGTTCTCGAGTCCTGTACTTTTGGTTAAGAAGAAAGATGGGAGTTGGAGGTTTTGTGTCGATTACCGAGCTTTGAACAGGGAAGCGGTTTTGGATAGGTTTTAGATTCCGGTAATCGACGAATTGCTCAATGAGTTGTTCGACGCGACTATCTTTTCTAAGATCGATTTGAAATCCGGATATCACCAGATTCGCGTGCGTGGGGAGGATGTGCCGAAGACGGCTTTCCAATTGCACGAGGGGCATTACGAGTATTTGGTCATGCCCTAGGGTATAACGAATGCCTCGGCGACTTTTCAGGCCCTCATGAATGAGGTATTTCGGCCCTACCTCTGCAACTTTATATTGGTGTTCCCCTTAAACAATAAAATGTTAACAAAAAAACTCCATCCGTTATGTTTTTTTTAAGGGAAATTGACATGTAATTTGTTATTTTGGATATTTTGGTAGCTCTATTATTTAAAATTTAGTTTGATTTTAAAAGTAATTTAAGTTTGAACTTTTAATTATGATACATCTATTATTGATTGAATCTAGTAAAAAATTTTATGAATTTTTACTGGTATAATAAAAAAATTTTATGAAGTTTTTTTTGAATATTTAAATTAGTTTATATTCAAATTAAATTTTAAACCATGAAATTATCAAAATGCTCACAAAACCTAACGGAAGAGGCTTTTTTGTTAACATTTTATTGTTCAGGAGAACATATGTTACGTTTTAAAGATCAAAAGGCAAAGTGTTACATGGAGTATATCCTTTAATTTTTTTAAAATGTCCAAATTATTCTTGGGTATCTCATATAGTTTCCAAATTTGTGCTGGGCTATACCAATTTCCAAATACCCCTCTTATATGTTTTTTTCCTGTTTTGTTGTTGAAGTAGGCCTCTTAAGAAATTTACAGCACCAATTTGAAAAAGTTTTATTTTTTATTATTTTTTATTATTTATTATTATTTTTTTCATTGTAATAAGAAAGAGAAATCTTTTTTTGAAAAAATATGTACTTCTATATATATATATATATATATTGAAATTCTATTTGGCAAAACATAACGAATTTATTTATTAATTTGAGGTGATAGTGTATTTGTAGTGCATAATAAACCAACTTGCTAGAATTATCTAGTACGACTACGTGACAAAATGTTTACATCTTTTTTTCTAAGATTTCACTTTCTTACTAAAATTAAAAAAAAAAAACTTGTTCAAATTAAGCTGTAAATTTTCTAAGAGAGCCACTTCAAAAAAAAAGAAAAGAAAAAAAAACCTTAAGAGGGGTGTTTGGAAGCTAGTATAGCCCAACCAACACAAATTTGAATAGTATATGGGATATTCAAAGACAATTTGGTCATTTTAAAAAAAACTGAACCAGAAAATTTAAAAGGAGGGATACTTTTTGTCTTGTTTTTTTTTTTTTTTTTTTTTTTTTTTTTTTTTTTTTTTTTTTTTAACACGGGATTCTTTTTTGAATTTTAAAAATCTCAGGGATAAAAATTGTTTTTAGACAAAACTGAGGGGATACTTTTTGGATTTTCTCTATCGGTTGTGTTGAAAAAAGATGCTGGAAACTCTGTTGAAGTGTTGTCCTTATGTGGAGCAGAGAAGGTAGAGAGAGAGAAGAGAGAGAAACATGGGTGATAAGAACTGAGAAATCTTATTATTGAAAGCAAGAAGAAAACACGATTGCAAGATAGATTCGCAGACTTTCAATAAGTCTGGTAGCTCTCCCAAGAGTTTCTCCAAATTCACATTGATTAGTCCCTACCCATATCCCTTGCCAATTCCCCCTTTGTAGTACTAATTCCCCTCTAACAAACTACTAACAATTACTAATCAGTTAGACTCTTAACAACCCTTACTAACCATTACCATATATCCCAAGCCTATCATTAACGAGTCCTAACAACGGGCTGTTCATATTGGTGGATTGGTTTCTTACCTTGGCATTAATAAGATTGTTTATACTTTGCTCTGGTATTGATAAGTTTTATTTTCAGCCCTTGCAACACTTCCAGACAATATTGGTGCTCGATTAACCTTGGCTTCCCTCCTCCTTGAGGAAAGTAAAGACGACGAAGCTATTTCATTGCTATCTCCTCCTATGAATTTAGGTATCTTTTGCTTTCAAACATTGGCACCTCTCTCTGTTTCTTTTAGAAACATTGAATAATCATGTGTTGATATATCATCTTGCGGCTCGTACATGCAGAATTTACTGATCAACATTCTCAGAAATCTAAGCCATGGTGGCTTAATGAAAAAGTAAAGCTAAAGATTTGCAATATATACTTAGCTAAAGGGATGCACGAGGACTTTGTGGATGCAATTTTTCCTCTGGTTCGTGAGTCATTATATTGCTGTGAAACTCATAAACAAAAGGTAATTTCGAGGAAATCTCAAGACTTCAAAAACTTATGCTCTTTATGTTCTCTGTATTTCTCGCTGATATATATGGTTTTTGCTCTGTAAATATATATATTTTTTGAAACTTGTTCAGCAGATCTGAAAACTGGCTTGAATTTACACCTGGGTTTTCATTGGAATATATTGCAGCTCTTAAGTTGTCGGTTTTGCTAAAGATATTTTGATCATGCAAAACAAAAATAGCAACAAAATTAATGAAAACAACCAACCCCCCCCAGTGAAAAATGACCAAGAGAAGGGAATATCCTTGAATTCATCTATAGATGCCCATTAAAAGCTAGATATATGATTCTTTTGTAACGACATACTTTATGCTCCTCCGCCTAAAACATTCTGCTAGTTCTTTCGATCCATATAACCAAAAAGGTTGCCAAGACCTCGCACTGTTACATCACCGTTGCCATTTCCCTGGTACCAAAACCAATGGTTTTTTAACCAATATATAAACAGCCTTTTCAGGAAATAAAATACGTATTCAAACTCGTCTCCATCAACAGTCTGTACTCTGTACCATAATGCACTGGCTACATAACAAAGCAGTGGCAGAATGATCAGTGGTTTCAGAACTTTCTTTGGACAGCTCAGAACTTTCTTTGGACAGCACACACCAGGAAGGAGAAGAACCCAGGATTTTTCTTTGCATGCATGAAAGAACGATTTGCAGAAAAAACCAGAAGGATCACAAGGCAGCTTTCTTTTTTCTTTTTTTTTTCCCCATCTTGAATAGGAGGTTTTGGCATAAAATTTTACAGAACTTCCAACAAAGAATCAGATTGTTAGTCTCCCTATCATTTTAATTATTACTGCCTAATTTAATGAACCAGAACACAGAGATTAATTAGGATCATTCTTGAAAGAAGTTAACCCATATACCTTGGAGAGAAAGGTGCAAAATAATGAGGTCCTCCCCACACATCCACACATTCTCTTTATTCTCTTATTTTAACTGACCTTAGTGGCCCACAAAAATATAGTCGATTTTATCCCAAAGGGGAAGGTAATCTTGGTATTGGTCTTTCAACAATCATCCCATCTCTTTCCAACCCAATAGCCAAAATAGAGATAAAATCACACACCTTTAGAACCTTTACCGTCTTGTGGCCCCCAAAAACCTTGAAGGCACCATATTAGAGGAGCCTGCTGCCTTACCAAGGGCGTTATGTGTAGGAAGTCAGTTTAAATAATGGTGCATCCCTTTCTGTGTTTTGTACAATAGGCTACCACCATTTCATCTTTGCTTTCAGCATAATTACCTTAGGATTCATGGACCTAAGATTCTTCTCTATGTCTGAAAGATAACTTTTTCTTGAATATTTAGGCTTTTATTTGTGAAAGATGAATGGAAGATATTGTTTCTTATTGAGTAATACAAGGAAATAAGATTTGGCACCTGGAAAACAATATTCTATAGGTATTAGGATATTAGAATTGAGCACGATTTACTACATTAAGGAGATTCAGATTGAATATATAGTGAGCTTGAATTGTATTTTTGTATTTCACAAATAATCAGTGTATAGGTGATTGTCATGTTTCCCATCTCAGTTTTGCTTTCTCTTTTATGACCCTCTATATATTTGTGTTATTGTTTCGGTATCGCCACTATTGTGAGACTTTTTTTTTTCTAATTATTTTTACGAAAATTTTTTCATTGATACTGAAATCAGTACAAATGGTCTTAGATATCCTCAAGAAAACTATTATCGGACTCCTTATTCTTATTCCTTGTACTTGTAGATTCAATACATCTACTTATGGTGTTGATTCAAATATGGTTTATCAATTTAGGTTAAAGTGAGAAGGCGGCTCAAAACGAGAGATCTGAATGAAAGAGTCAAAGTACTAGATACACATGCGCCTGATAACTTATTTGGTGGATTTAGACCTGTAGCTTCTAGCTCGGATCTGTGAGTGGTGAATTTCACTATTTTCATTCTCTATTGCTGTAAATTTTCGTGATGCTATTTACGAGAGTAACCATCCTGGGTTAAAATTAAAAGGTAAAGAAAGACGTGATGCTTTTGTGCATGTGCTTGTATTGCAAGCATTCGAAGGATTCATCTGCTTGATTGCTAAGGTCTACGTTGTGCTATCAGAAATGCGTAGAGTTGAATCATCTAATTCTGTTGCTAATGCGTGTCTCACTTGGAGCCACTAAGTTTCACATACTGATATCGTGCATATATGTTTTATAGTTTCTTCTTTGTTGCACATCATCTGAAATTTCGTTCTCTATGTGTTGTACAAGTTTTTCATCATGGAGATGTCTGCACATTACTGCATATATGTACGCAACTTTCCCTATTTGTTATCTATTTGTTATCTGATCAAATCGTCCCCATTCAATTTGATAAAAAAAAGGTTGAAAGCCTCCAGAGCAAAGAAGTTGCTTCAGAAGAAAGAGGAGCAGAAAGCGAAGGCAGTTGCAGCAGGAGTAGACTGGCAATCTGATGATGGTTCAGATGATGAGCCTTCGGTATGCTAATTTACTTGTGACTTGTGAAAGGTCAATATTTTGAGTAGTGAATTATTGGACTTGGGCATGAATGAATTAACTTATAATTGTCATATTTTCAGTTACGAGAACATAGAGAAGCTCCATTGCCAAATATCCTTAAAGACGAAGAGCATCACCATCTTATCGTCAATGTTAGTACTATTTCCTTCGTTCGACCTTCTTACACAAAGAATTCATTATGGAATTTCTCATGCGTGTAAATTGTAATTTATGTTTTAGTGATTTGGTGTAGGATATAATAGTGATTATATTGATAGGTTGATGACAATACATACATATTTATTTACTTATTTATCTGGTTTGACGCATGCTTCATAGTTGTGCAAGGCATTAGCCACCTTGAGACGATATTCAGATGCGTTAGAGATTGTAAGTCTCACTCTCAGATTGGCAAATAACATTTTCCCTGCTGACAAGGAGGAGCTTCGGGTCCTTGGAGCTCGTAAGGCTTCTACTCTTTCCTGTTTTGATTTTCTGTGAAGGTTCGTTTTCACTAAAAGATGGCTTTACCTGGTCCTAAAAGTACACATACTCTCAATACAGAACTAGCATACAACATCACGGAACCTAAGCATGGATTCGACTATGTCAAATACATTGTTCAACAGAAACCGTACAGCAATGCTGCCTGGAACTGCTACTACAAAGTAATTTCAAGGTACTGAATAGTATAATATGAATTTGCTGCCTGAAATGCTTTCTTCTCTCGGTAGAAATTAATTCTAGAGGTAGTTAACGAAATTAAAGATATGGTTTTAGTTTTCCCCTCTTGAGTTATTCTCTGTGGGACAAGAAGTGATGTGTGTATAAAGTCTAAGCTTAGAAGGAAGCTTAGAATTCAAGTAAGCCATGTGAAAGTTGAATTAGCTCATAGAAGAAAGTGTTTGTCATTCAAAAGATCATCATTAGATTGAAGAATTTCAAGACCATTCTGGTAACTGAAGGGGCTAATTTCTATACAAAAGTGTTTGATCTTTAATAATTGGTAAGATTTAGAGATTAAAGCTTGTCCATATCAGTGGTCTCTAATTCTGTTGTTTTTCCTTCAGCGTCTGCTAGAAAGAGCTGGATATTATTTCTCTTTCTGAAAGAGCATCTTTGTGGGCTTGTACTGATGAAGTCTTTTAAAGACTTTGCCTTTTCTTTGACTGTATTGAGTTGGATCTGATGTGGCGTTAATTTGCTTTGGTTTTCATAGTTTTTGTTTTCCCTTGAGGACTTCTTGTCTTCTTTCTCATCATATTAATTTTTTGTTTGGGTAATCGGCACAAATGGTCCCTAACCTCTTGAGTAGGTGACAGTTTGGTCAATATTTTTTTAATTTTGGCAAAACGATCTCCAACCTCTTTAAATTGGTGCAATTATGACCTTTCTGTTAAATTATGTTAATTTTTTAACAAATTTCACCACGTGAAGTGCATGTGACATTGTTAAAAGGGGTATTTTAGTAAACTTCATAGAATACTTTCTTAACAAAACTCAAAATACAACAACAACAACAAGCCTTAATCCCACGCAGCTCTGCTTGAAATTAAACTTTCCTGAAGGCTTAGATCTAGAATGTCTTTCCTAACTACTTCTGTCCACATAATTCTTGGTCTACTCCTCCCTCTCCTAGTATTAGGTATAAGAATGTCCTCCCAAGCACGAATTGGTGCTTCTAGCGGTCTACGTTGGGCATGCCCGTATGATAAGCCACCGATTCGTTTTACATATGCTAGGCGTGCTAAGCACGTGTCTTAGCTTGGCCTTGTGCTGAGGTCAGAAGGAAGTGGGAAAGCGGTCTGTGCTGGCAGGATTAATAGAATTAGTTAATTGTGAATGAAAAAGAATGCAGTTAGGCAAGTTGTTAGCTATTTAAAGGGTGGGGCATGTGCGAGGGGGATTATCTTGGCATTTTTTGAGTGTACTTGGGAGAGAGCTAGTCCTCTCGAAAGACCAGTACTATCTTGTATTTCCCTTTTTGCTATCAATAAAACTTTATTCTAGATATTTCTTCCTTCCTGTACTTGGGCTCTATCAATTTGCTATCAGAGAATTCGATCTTTTTTTTTCATGGCTAAGCAACTGGAACCCCGCATTGCCGCGATGGAGGAACAGGTTGGATCCCTTTGTTCCGATATGCAGCGTCGGGGCCCAATGGAGCAACATCTTGCCATGGTCATGGATAAGCTTTCCATCCTCGATCAGGTGGATAAGGCTCTTCAGCGTTTGGAGTCCCCGCTTGTCGCTGGTAATCCGTCGTCCTTGGAGGAGTCCAGTGGGGTGGCCCGACCGGGAGGTGCTTCGGGAGACAACGGGAAGTCGGTGATGTCCTCGGATATTCCAGATCTTGGGCCGGGGAAGGCGGACGAGTTTCGGGAGTCTCTGATTCGTGGCGATCTGGGGGTGCGCCGGTTGGAGATGCCGTTGTTCGAGGGCGACAATCCCGAGGGTTGGCTTTTTCGGGTGGAACGTTACTTCTCGGTGAATCGTCTGACAAAGGAGGACAAGTTGAGTGCTGCTGCGATTTGTTTCGAAGGGGAAGCTCTGGCTTGGTTCCAATGGGAGGATGGCAAGAATCCTGTTCGTTCTTGGTTGGAGCTCAAACGCAAACTTCTCGATCGGTTTCGATCTTCCCAAGAAGGGTCAGCTCTTGACAAATTCCTGGCTATTCATCAGAAGGGAACCGTGCGAGACTATCGCCGTCTCTTCGAGGCATTGGCGGCTCAGGTGGTCGACGTCCCTACTCACGTGCTAGAGAGCACGTTCATCAACGGATTACGGCCGGAGATACGGGCGGAGGTACGCATGTATCACCCGGAGTCCCTTGACCGACTGATGACCCGAGCTCAGCTAGTGGAGGAGCACAATAACATGTTGGTGGCCCACCGCCAGGGCCCATCGGGAATTGGGCCTCGGGGCCCACCTCAAGCCCAACAGTCCAGTGGAGCGAGCGGAGGGCCCAATCCCTCTAAACACGTCAGGTTTTCCATTCCTTCAAATTCTCATGGTCTTACCCAGCTCCCTTCATTCCAAAAATTCTAGGCGCCGTCGGCAAATCACTCCGGTCCTTCGAAATCGCCAGTCGTCTGTCGGATGTCTGACGCCGAGCTTCTACAGTGCCGCGCGAAAGGGCTGTGTTTCCGTTGTGACGAGAAATTCTTTGTTGGGCATCGTTGCAAGAATCGCGAGTTACATGTCTTGATGGTGGACGATGATTTCGATGCTGTTGAGCCACCACCCCAGGAGGACGACGCGGAGGGCCTTACAGAGCAGGCCGTCACGGAGGTTGTCGAATTGTCCATCAATTCTGTGGTGGGTCTTGCCGATCCACGTACAATGAAGGTAAAAGGGTCCATTGCCAAGCAGGAGGTCGTGGTGTTGATTGACTGTGGCGCGTCCCACAACTTCATTTCCATGGCGGTAGTAGAGAAACTTGGGCTGCCGTGCTCGGATACCGCTGGGTACGGGGTGTTGATGGGCACAGGGATCACTGTCAAGGGCGCTGGAGTGTGTAAGGGGGTGGTCCTGATGTTGCCTTGTGTCGAGATCGTTGAAGACTTCTTGCCTTTGGAATTAGGGAGCGCAGATGTTATCCTTAGGATAAAATGGTTGGCTTCGTTGGGTGGTATGCGTGTCGATTGGAAGGCTTTAACCATGCGCTTCCGGGTTGGCGGGACGGGCATGACTTTGAAGGGGGATCCGACCTTGTGTACTTCACGGGTGTCTTTGAAAACCATGATCTCGACTCTCAAGGACGATGGGGATGGTTACTTGGTCGAGTTGAGTCACCTTGCAGCGGTCACGCCGGATGCGGGAGAGTCTATTCCCATGGCAGTCCAACTTGTTTTGGATCAATTTTCGTAGGTGTTCGCTTGGGAAGATGGCTTGCCCCCAACTCGGTCTAGGGATCATGCCATCGTGCTCAAGTCTGGTTCGGAGGCCGTTAACGTCCGGCCATTCCGTTATCCATAGGTGCAGAAGGAGGAGATCGAGAGGCTGGTGCAAGACATGGTCACGGCAGGAATCATCCAACTGAGTGTGAGTCCCTTTTCGAGTCCAGTTCTTCTGGTACGTAAAAAAGACAGTAGCTGGAGATTCTGTGTGGATTATCGCGCCGTGAATAAGGCTATGATCGCCGACAAGTTTCCAATACCCGTGATCGATGAACTGCTTGATGAATTGCATGGGGCCCCGGTGTTCTCCAAGCTGGATCTTAAGTCTGGTTATCATCAAATCTGGGTGAAATCAGAGGACGTGCACAAGACAGCCTTCCGCACGCACACGGGTCACTACGAATTCCTGGTGATGCCCTTTGGGCTCACAAATGCGCCGGCTACATTTCAGGCGCTCATGAACGACCTCTTTCAGGATATCCTCCGCAAATTCGTCTTGGTTTTCTTTGACGACATTTTGGTGAACAACCAAAGCCTTGAGGACCACTGTGAGCACCTCCGGCAAGTGCTGCAAATTCTGACCTCTCACCGCCTATTCGCTAACCGGAAGAAATGTGTGTTTGGCCAGGAAAAATTGGAGTATCTCGGTCACATTGTGTCCTGAGATGGGGTGGCAGCTGATGAGGCTAAAGTGGCAGCTATGACGAACTGGCTACGACCTCGCTCTCTCAAGGAGCTACGGGGTTTCTTGGGGCTTACCGGGTACTACAGACGTTTTGTGGAAGGGTATGGACGGCTGGCTTGGCCCTTAACTGATCAATTGAAAAAAAGACAATTTTCAATGGTCCGACAAGGCGGAGGCCGCTTTCCAAGCATTGAAGGACGCTATGGTAACGGTTCCGGTATTGGCTCTTCCGGATTTCTCAGCCCCCTTTGTGGTGGAAACGGATGCGTCGGGGCATGGGGTTGGGGCGGTGTTGATGCAACGACAACGCCCAATTGCTTTCTTCAGCCGGGTGTTACCTGAGCGCACACGGACGAAATTTGTCTATGAGAGGGAGCTCGTGGTTGTGGTTTGGGCGCTGCAAAAATGGCGGCATTACTTGCTTGGCCGCCACTTTGTTGTACGCACCGATCAACGGAGTTTGAAGTTTCTGTTAGAGCAGCGAATGGTCAGTCCGGAGCACCAACGCTGGTTGACCAAGTTGATGGGATTCGACTTTGAGATTCAATACAAGCCGGGGCTGCAAAACAAGGCAGCTGATGCCTTGTCACGGGTTGTTTCAGAAGCGGTCCTCCTAGCGCTAACAGTGCCTTGGGTAGTGGAGTTTGAAGACCTAGAACAACACATTGCACAGGATGACAAGCTCCGGAGAATAGTGGAGGCCTTGCTTCGGGACCCATCTTCGAAACCAAGATACTCCCTTGTCTAGGGGTGGCTAATATACAAGCAACGTTTGGTCATTCCTAAGCTGTCTTCACTTGTGGGGGCCTTGCTGAAAGAATATCATGATGGCAATTTGGGGGGACACTCAGGTTTTTTGAAGACTTGGAAGCGGTTGGCAGCGCACTTTTATTGGGAGGGCATGAAGGGCGACATCGCTCGCTACGTTAGCCACTGCACCGTGTGTCAGCAACAGAAAAGTTCCACGTTGTCCCCGGGCGGCTTACTCCAACCCCTTCCGATTCCTTTGCAAATTTGGGAGGACCTTTCTATGGATTTTGTGGAAGGGTTGCCTCAGTCGGAGGGCGTTGATACAGTTTTGGTTGTGGTGGATCGTCTAACCAAATACGCTCATTTCATCGGCCTCAAACACCCGTACTCAGCTCCAGGGGTCGCGGTTGCTTTTGTCAAGGACGTGGTTCGCTTGCACGGAGTTCCACATTCGATAGTGTCGGACCGGGATAAGGTGTTCATGAGCCGTTTTTGGTCAGAACTTTTTAAACTTTAGGGCACCAATCTAAAGCACAGTACCGCATACCACCCGTAGACCAATGGCCAAACGGAAGTGGTGAATAGATGCTTGGAAACCTACTTGCGCTGCATGGCGGGTGGCTGTCCTCGGTAGTGGGCAAAATGGCTCTCCTGGGCTGAGTATTGGTACAATACAACGTATCACACAGCCACCAACACCACTCCCTTTCAGGCGGTATATGGCCGACCCCCTCCCTCGCTGCTCCGTTACGATCAGGGGACCACTATCTGCTCGGATGTTTGACCGGTTGTTGAAGGAGCGGGATATCATGTTAGACGAACTACGAAACCATCTCTTGAAGGCCCAGAGTCGCATGAAACGGGTGGCTGACTCACACCGGCAGGATGTCCAGTTCAATGTGGGGAACTTGGTATACGTGAAATTGCGGCCCTATAGGCAGCGCACAGTGGCGTCTCGGCCCTTCGAGAAGCTGAGCCCGCGTTTCTTTGGACCTTTTCCTGTTGAAGCTCGGATAGGACCAGTGGCGTATAGACTGACCTTGCCTTCGGGGGCGGCTATCCACCCTGTCTTCCACGTTTCGCAGCTCAAGCAGGCCATCGGGAGTAAGGAGGCCACTCCGACCTTCCCACCTCAGCTTAACTTTGACTTGGAGATGTGTGTGACGCCTGAGGCTGTTTTGGGCCTTCGTGTAGGAAAAGGGGGTCCCGGCCATCATTTGGAGGTGTTGATCCAGTGGCAGGGGCTGCCCTCCTTTGAGTCACAACTTGGGAGCCTTATGAACTGATTCAGGAGCAATTTCCAGAATTTCACCTTGAGGACAAGGTGTCTCTATGGGCCGGGAGTAATGATAAGCCACCGATTCGTTTTACATATGCCAGGCGTGCTAAGCACGTGTCTTAGCTGAGGTCAGAAGGAGGTGGGAGAGCGGTCTGTGCTGGCAGGATTAATAGAATTAGTTAATTGTGAATGAAAAAGAATGCAGTTAGGCATGTTGTTAGCTATGTAGAGGGTGGGGCATGTGCGAGGGGGATTATCTTGGCATTTTCTGAGTGTACTTGGGAGAGAGCTGGTCCTCTCGAAAGACCAGTACTATCTTGTATTTCCCTTTTTGCTATCAATAAAACTTTATTCCAGATTTTTCTTCCTTTTTGTACTTGGGCTCTATCACCGTACTACCTTAAGCGGCATTTGCGCACCTTATCTTCTATTGGTGCTACACTTACTTTACTACGAATAACTTCATTTCTTATGCGATCCATTCTCGTATGGCCACTCATCCATCTTAACATACACATTTTTGCCACACTCATCTTAGATATATGTTGTCTCTTAATGGCTCAACATTCACTATTATATAACATAGTTAGGCGGATTATAGTCCTATAAAACTTTCCTTTCAACGTAATAGGCATCTTGCCATCACATAAAACTCTCGTAGCATTCTTCTACTTAACCCATCATGCCTTAATCCTACGTTGAATATCCTCTTCTATATCTCTTTCGTACTGCACTATAGACTCAAGGTACCTAAACTTCCTAGAAGCCCCAATCTCCACACCATCTAAAGAAATTCCATTACTCTGATTACTTGAGTTACTAAACCTACAATGTATGTATTCAGTTTTCGTCCTACTTAACTTAAATCCCCTCGTCTTGAGAGTCTGTCTCCACAGTTTTAACTTACGGTTAACTCCTTCCCTATGTTCATCAACTAAAACTATATCGTCCGCAAAAAGCATACACCAAGGAACTCTATCTTGGATTTCTCTTGTCAGCTCATCCACCGCGATGGTGAAAAGATAAGGACTAAGAGCAGATTCTTGATGAAGGTCGATCCGAATGGGGAACTCTGCCGTGTAGCCTCCAGCAGTTCTCACACTCGTGACTACCCCGTCGTACATGTCCTTAATTACCTTGATATACCTCACATGCACTCCTCTCTTTTCTAGCACCTACCATAAATCTTCCCTCGACACCTTATCATATGCCTTTTCTAAATCTATAAAGACCATATGTAGGTTTGTTTTGGCTTTTCTGTACCTTTCCATTAGCATCCTAAGAAGAAAAATGGCTTCCGTGGTTGATCTGCCTGGTATGAAGCCAAATTGATTACTTGAGACGGTAGTTGTGGCCCCAAATCTCCTTTCAATAACCCTCTCCCAAAGTTTCATAGTGTGGCTTATTAACTTTATGCCCCTATAATTGTTACAATTCTGCACATCTCCTTTATTCTTGAAATGGGGACGAGAATACTTTTGCTTCATGCATCAGGCACATGTTGCTTCTTTAGTATCTCATTAAAAAGCTTAGTGAGCTACACAATTTCAACATCTTCTAACGCCATCCAAACCTCTATTGGAATATCATCTGGCCCACATGCCTTCCCTTTTTTCATTTTCGTTATGTAGTTTTAATTTCTGAGACTCTGATTCTTCTTGTATACATCACATTAGGTTTTCCTTATGACCTAAGATCGTCAAAACTCTATCGCATGATAATCATTATAAAGCTTCTCAAAGTAACTTTTCCACCTTTTCCTAATGTCTTTATCTTTTGTCAGAACCTGATCCGTATCATTCTTAACACACCTCACTTGATTTAGGTCCCGACACTTCCTTTCTCTTATCCTAGCTAGTTTTTATATATCCTTCTCTCATTCTCTAGTCCCAAGTTTCCTATATACCTCATCTAAGTAAGTAGAACGAGCATTACTAACTGCTCGCTTAGCTTCTTTCTTCGCTTCTTTGTACTTATTAAAAGTTTTAACATCCTTACACTTTGGTAAATCTCTATATAAATTCCTCTTGGTCCTAATAGCCTTTTGAACTTCCTCACTCCACCACCAGGTTTCTTTTCCTGGGGGCCTTTATCATTAGATTCCCCCAGTACCTCCTTTGCCACTTTTTTAATGCAGCTGGCCATGACATCCCATATAGTATTTGCATCACTTATAAAACTCAAAATAAAATAAAATAAAATAAAACAGGAAAAAACCATTTTCCATTTTACCTGATCTTGAGGGACAACGATGGATTCTCCGGCCTCGCCCAACCCTAGTAGCCAAGCCCCAGCCATCGCAGAAGTAGAGGGGCTCAAAGGAGAATGCTCTGCCGTCGGATCCGAACTCTTTGCCCCCAATTTCGAAGCACTCGCCGGCGATCTCCACCCGCAAGTTGAAGAGCCCGCTTCCGCTGCTACCACCGTCGTCAAACCCTCTCAAGTGGAAGCTTAGCATGGAGACGTTCCCGAGAACTCCCTCATTGGAACCTGCAAATCTGGTGTCCAGATATGGTTGGGTGTGGATTTTCTTTTCCATTTTTCAAATTGTTTGCAAAATTTGGGGTTTCAAATTCTTTTGTTCTTAATTGATGCAAAAAAGATGAGTTTTCCTTATGAATTAACTTCCAATATCCAATGATTTGGCGATTTCTTTGTCGATTTGGATCGGATTTTGTTGAGGATTCTGCGTAATTTTGATTTTAGGGTTTGTTGTTGCGGTTGGGTAGGGATTGAAGGAGAAGAATGTGAATTTAGTTTGAGGAAGAAGTTGCGAAGCTTGAGTGGAAAAGAGAGCCGGTAGAACTTTCGAGTGGGTGAGAGTTTTGTTGCGTTGAATTTGAAATTGATATTTCTGGTTCCATGGGTCTGCAATGGGTCTGATTCCATGGTTGAATTCTTAATAATTAGGGTTTAGCCTTGTAGGAGAGAAAATAATATTTATTGATAACAAATTTGTGCTTATTCTCTTTCCACGGAAATGTCTTAATTGCACCAGTTTAAAAAGGTTGGGGATCGTTTTGCCAAAAAGATAGATTATTTATCCTTTATTTTTTTTATTATAATTAATTAAAGAGTGTCCTTGCTCTATTCTAGATTGGAGAATCGTGATACAAGACATTATAAGTTTCTACAAACTATGCATGGCAAGCTCAAGGATTGTGTCCCCCCCATTCTTATTTCTGCACATCAACTTACCATTGCTAGCCATCATCAAGATGCTGCAAGGAAATATCTTGAAGCCTATAAATTGCTACCGGATAATCCCTTGATTAGTCTCTGTGTTGGTATGATTTATTTTTGAGTTTTTGTTAAAGTAGTGTAACATACGCATAAAAAAAAAAAGGAAGAAGAAGAATAAGCATGTCTTTTCCTGCAGGTTCAGCTTTGATTAACTTGGCATTAGGATTCAGACTTCAAAACAAGCATCAATGCATTGCACAAGGCATGGCCTTCCTATACAATAATTTAAGGCTCTGTGAATCTAGCCAGGTTTGATTTCACCACCATTAATATTTGTTGATCGCGTAATCATGTTTGATCGTTTCTTCTGTTGATAATATGAAGCTTCTTTTGTATGATTGTGATCTGTGTTTGAGGGGTTGGGATTTGGAGAGAATTTGTTCCAAAGTGCTGCCTGTTTCCGTTTATGAATTCCGCAAGCTTAAAGAATTTCGGGGGAGTACCTCCATTCGAGTAGTTGTAATCTGCAAAGTTCATTTAAATTTGTTCAATCCTTTACAAGAGTTGTGCATTCAGAAGCGACTCTTTGTGCTTTCTAAATTGAAAACTCTTTCAGTTTTCAATCATTTTCAATCATTTTATTTTCTGGTTTTGATATTCTAGTTAAGGAAATATCATCCTAACACATGCCTACGAGCTCACAGGCTCACTGACATGACCACAATTACTCGCACAAGCGCGGGTGCACACACGCACCCACAAAGAAATACATGCACTGTTAAAGAATGATACTCCCCAAAAAAAAGGAAAAAACATATTAGGTAAAATTGGGGAAAAAAATATCTTCAAATGTGCAATACACGCACAGAAGACGGGTCAAACAGGGAAGAAAATTTGATGTTGTCATGAAAGGCAAGCTCAAGTATGGGCGCATATGTTTATTTTGGACAGACCCTCATTTACATGTACTTTCTTTCCTTATTCTGAATCCTCATTTTGTGTGTCACCATTACTTTTTATTTTTATTTTTTTTTAATTTAATTTCATCATTTTCATTGCCAACTTTTTTTAAACTCTAGTTGTATAGCTTTGTTTACACTCCATTTAGTTGTTGTCCGCCCCCCCCCCCCTCAAAAACTCATTTCCAACATTATCGATCGACATCTGTAGGAATCCTTATACAACATTGCCCGGGCGTACCATCATGTCGGCCTTGTATCACTGGCAGCTACATATTATGAAAGAGTTCTTGCAATTCATGAGAAGGATCATCCCATTCCTAAGCTTCCCAATGAGAATCCAATCTCAAAAGAGCAGAGACCTGGTTACTGTGACCTTCGCAGGGAAGCAGCGTTCAATCTGCATCTTATCTACAAAAGAAGTGGAGCTTTTGATCTTGCTAGACAAGTCCTTAAGGATCACTGCACCTTTTGAGTCTTCATGCCGACGATACTGAAGAATTATCCGTCGACAGAAAAAGTCAATTCGATTTTTTTTTACTTTTAAATATTTGATATTTTTAGACTTCTAGAAGGAAGTTGATTTTGATGCAGATACAACAGTTGAAAAACTAGTAGTGCATTTTTCCATGTTCTAGCCCATATTTATCATAGCATACCAGATTTAATTTCTGATTGTTTTGTACCGGATGATGATGATGATGTTATTATTATTATTATTATTATTATTATTATTATTATTTGCATTGGAGGTTATTTCCTACAAATAAGTCATGAAAACTTGATGCACATAAATGAACATTTACCGAGTTAGTTAACTCTCCAATTTATTATTTTTTTTTAAAGAAAAAGAGGGTGAAATTACTGCACGTTAACTAGTGCACTATACTCATTAAAACGCTCATGTATCAATCAAATGAAATATCCCAAAATTTTTTTTTTTAATTACATAATCTATATGAGGTAGTAAGTGTGCATTACAATTGTGATCATGTTCCAAAAGATGCTAGTATTTAAGTTCTAGCGGGTGATCTCTGGAAATAGCAAAAAAAGGTATCTTGTCATTTTAAAAAATATCTTTCAGGAATCCTAAACCTGCGTTTTGGCATTGAAATATCCAACTTATACTTTTATTAATAAATTCAAAATAAACTTTTTTAGATTATTAGATAAAATAAAAACATTAATTATTAAAACAGGAAGAAATCCATACATGTAGTTTTGTTGGATGTGTTTTGTTTTATTTTTTATTTTTTCAAAATAATTTTACAAAATTCATTTGGGGTTTTCTAATGAAAAAGTAAATTGGAAAATTCATGTCTCAAAAAAACATGCTACGGATTTCCAAATTATAATTTTGCAGAGCACGAGGTGTCTCAAAATTTTCAAAGAGTGGTTTTTTTGATGGAGTAAATAGCATCGTTCCATCTTGAATTATTAATTTTTTTATCGTAATGAATTCTGAACTTTTAATTTTAGCAAAAGGCACAATGAACTTCAAAATCAGTTGCAAGTGATGTTTAATAGCTAATGTCGTTATCAAATTGACAGTTCGAGACACAAGATTTGTATGTGATATGGTTTGTAAAATGAAGATCTTTGCCTTTTATGCACGATCATGTGTTTTAAACTGTCAATTTTAATAATGTTCGTTAGTTATTAAACTTAAATTGCTACTAATTTTAAATTTTATAATGCATTTTGTCAAAATTAAAAGTCCCGAATCTATTATACAAAAGTTGAATAGTTTGGGATGAGAATAGTGCAATTGATTCCTCTAATATAATTTGAAATTATGTAAAATAAATAAATAATAATAATCATATACTGCGACCCCATACGAAATTTATATTTTTACTAATAAATTTTTCTCAAAAGTTTGTTCATGGAAACAAATTTCTTCGGTGTTCTGAAATTTTAAAATTTCTAAGGTCCCACAGAAAGTTTGTTTAAAAAATAATTTCTCTCAAATTTTTTCAAAAATTTCGATAAATATCAGAAAAATTCTTTTACATCCAAAGGATATTTCGGGGTCACGGAAATTTTGATGAAAACTTTAGAAATATGAGAGAAATATTTGTCCGTGATCTAAAAATACCGTCACCTCTACCTAACAAATAAATTTAGGTTAATTTCTAGCTGTATTAGTTTTTGTTTGTTCGATTCCTCACTTATTTTCCAAGGTTATCACTATATCTCTTTTTGTCTATATCGGTACGTGTAGTCTAGTCCCCTTCAAGTTATAAACATTCTTATTTTATTCATTAGTTTTTGTTTCTTTGTTTATTTTCAAAGGTTATCAACATATAGGTCATTATGTCTTTTTGTCTCGTTTAGTCACCTTCTGTTAATGGTCCAAATGATGGTATAGATTTCGGCCGTTTAATAGAGCTTTTATTTTTATTTTTAATCGGTAAAAGAAGAGAAGCAAAAGTTGTGATTTTTCAGTAAATATTTAAAATAAAGAGCTTAATAGATCAAAATAATTTTTAAATTTTTTAATAAGCAATAAAAGTGTTAGAATTAAGTTTATAATGCCTTAATTAAATTATGGTACAAGTTTCAAAATTTATTTAAAAGTGATTTTTTTAGAAGCCACAATTTCTAGATTTGATTAGAAGCTCTTCTAAAAAAGTACTTATAACAGATCATCTAAATACTTCTAAAAGTAGCTTTTAAACATAAAAGGTCAAAAACATCTTTTAAAATTTTAGAAGGAACAAACGTTGTGTTTTGAAATTGTTGAATAATGCATACCTTAATAAAATTTTACAAAGATGAAGGATACCAAATTAGACGGCACCAAAAATGATGTTTTCCCAAAAGATTAAGAGCATCTTCCAAAGGGTGCCGTTTTAATCCCTCTTGGTATGCATGAGGTATCGGAATGAAGCTCCAACTTAATTATTGTGGTTTTCATTTAGATATATAAGTAATTAGTTAGATATTTGTATCTTTCTGATTGTCTGATCATATGATCAAAAGTTTAATAAAAAAAAAATCATGTAAATTTTACAGAATATTTAGGGGTTAATATTTTGTACCCTACAGTAAGGTTCTCTATAATTATCGTTCAAACATTTTTGTTTTGAAAGGATTCAAACACTTTCTTAATTACAATAATGACAAGATTGTTGTAAGCATAGCTAATTACAAAATGCTAGTGGACAATTTGAAATCGCTGTGTATATATGCCGTCCGAAATCTAACTGTAGTTTAATTTGTTATTTGTAGGCTCTAGCCTAGTTATTTGAAAAGCAAATGCTCCATTTATACAATAAAAAGTCGTTCATATATATAAACGAATGTTCAATGTGTATATATGTGTGTATCTAGATACATGCATGACTATACACATTTTTTTAAAGACGTACATAAACATCTATAAACACAAACAATAAACACCACTTATCACCTATTATATCTCTTATTGTGACGTAATTAGAAATGGACAGAGCTTTTCTTGCAATTAGCTGAAAAAAGGGAATGAGGAATGACAGCTGGGAAAATAGTAAAAAGGATTTGACACCTATAATTTTTTTTTTTGGACATCAAAAACATTCATTTCTTTACTTTCTATTTTCTTTCTCTTACCAAACTTGGCGACATAATTAACTTTGTTGCTGAAGAAGTGGAATTGCAGCAATGGCCATGGCCATACACAAACACACACACACATATATGTAAATATATATGCGTGTGTCTCAACTCTTCTAGCTTTTGCATTTCATAACAAAACTATATATACAACAACATACAAATCAAATTCTTCCAAAAAAAAAAAGTCAAATTATCAAGGAAGTAAGGCTTACAATTAAGTTGTAGTGGCAAAAAAATTCATTTAATTAGTTCTGGCCCCCATAATTATAGAACATTAGAAAAGAATAAGTTGACCTTTCTTTAATTTTGTTTTCGAACCTAATATTCTAAAATATTTTTTTTGAACATCAAATATATAAGTTTTAATGTTAGTATTATTTTATCTAAATTAATATATAAACCGTATAATTATATACATAAACATATTTATACACAATCTTATGATGTGAATCTAGCTTTGCCTAGATATCCCAAAATATAGCACATTGGGATTGTCGGTTTCCTAACGAAGTTGGTTACAGAATCTTTGTTATATATACTAGATAAGTTTCCATTAACTTTTCAACTCTTAACATTTTGCTGCATGATGTACTTTTCCCAGCAAATGCTTCTATATGTATGTATATATATATATATATATATATATATATATATATATTTGGAAATAAGCTGTTTGATCTTTTTTCAAGGGGAAGGGACACGTTGGCTGTCTCAACTATACATACAATATATAAGTCAAAACTTTTGAAGACTAATCCATATATATGTATATATTAATATATTTCTGTTTTTGTGTAAACACCACCTCCTTAACACACACTCACTTAAGCGAAAGACAGTGACCAACACAAACAAAAAATTTAATATATATATAGTGGGAGTAATTTATATTTTGCAATTTAGTTACAAAAAAAATTTATATTTTGGAATTAAGGTATAGCTAGGTAGGTGTGTATAAATAGCTAGGTAAATTGGGTATTCCATGCATCAAATTAATAGACTACACTCTGATCTCTCTCTCTCTCTCTCTCTCTCTCTTTTCTCTTTATTTTCTCTCTATTCTCTCATTCTAGACAGTTTCCTCCTTTTCAGTAAGCTCCTGAAAGAGTTCCATCTTTCTGTAATTCTCTATATATATTGATATAACATTGTTTTTTTTCACAAAATAGAAGTTTCGTATTAGTTCGTGACCAATTTTCTCTAGTTGAAGGACATATTTTAAGTATGTATGAATTGTGCGCGCTCATATACATATGTATACACACATATATGTATATATGTGTTTTAGTATATTTATCTTTTGTGTATAGATAAATTTTCTCTTTGGACTTGTGTTTATAAAGTCTCTCACACACAGATATATATATATATATATTTATAAATGTATAATGATATCGCTTCAACTTGCAGGCACTTTGGGTTCTCTACACTAAGGAAGCCTTACAAGGAATTTGAAGAAATGTGGAAGATTAAGTATGGAACGGGTGCGGAAGATCCATATTTATTCAGCACAAACAACTTCTTGGGAAGACAGATATTCGAGTTCGATCCGACCGCAGGAACGCCGGAAGAGCAAGCACAAGTTGAGGAGGCTCGCCTGAATTTCTACAGAAACCGTCACAAGGTCAAGCCCTGCAGTGACCACATATGGCGTCTTCAGGTATATATGTGTGTGTGTACGCTCATCAAACTTATTACAGTGAACCAATACAAAATGTAAAGGAAGCAGTTTAATTTTGTTGTAACATTCCGATTCATTTCTCTAAAACCACTGCTTTGAAATTTAAAGTAGAGAGGCTAGCTATACTGGTGATGTGTACATTTTTGTACAAATGATTTGTTAGTAAGCAAAACCTATTCATGATATTCTATCTATGTCACACCAAAATCAAATATTTGAGGAATACTTTATTCTTTGATATATGTATTGGTTATTTTACGATATGTACCTCCCACGAAATTATAAAAAAAAAAAGGAATTATTCAACTATTGGGTACAGAAATCAAGGATATTCAAATTATTATTGACAAAATGCAGATGTTAAGAGAGAAAAACTTCAAACAAACAATTCCAAAAGTGAAAA